CAAGGTAAAGGATATTGCAAATTACAGTAGATACTGTTTCTTGTTTACCATTGGTACAAATGTCCAATGGTGGCATCAAAATACTAATGTTGTTTGTAAACACGACAAATCTATAGAAACTATCTCATTCAGTTGCTGGACCACCAACCCACAATATATATTCTGTTGGCCCTCAGCCAGTCAACTTTCTGTAGTCCGAGGTCTGAACTCAAAAACAGAAGCTAATCAAAAGCTCTGGTAATCCACGGCTGTGGCCCCTCTTCTCACTCTGGTAATCCAAGGCTGTGGTCTCTCTTCTCACTCTGGTAATCCAAGGCTGTGGTCTCTCTTCTTACTCTGGTAATCCAAGGCTGTGGTCCCTCTTCTTAAGTCTGGTAATCCAAGGCTGTGGTCCCTCTTCTCAAGTCTGATAATCTAAGGCTGTGGTCCTCCCTCTTCTCACTCTGGTAATCCAAAGCTGTGGTCCCTCTTCTCAAGTCTGTGGCAGATTGTGGATGAGAACTATAGCAGCAACTGTGTGTCAAAGATAGGACTTCTCCTAAACCTTGTCCTTCACTTTATGGAAAATGTGATTTCAATTCATACAAAGTTCAAAACTTACATAATACAAGAATTAAGAAGAGCACAAAAAATTATCCTTTAAGAAAAAACAGAGAACTCAGAATAAACAATATTTTTTCATTATAACACAGTGATTTAACCTTACTACCTTACATTGTGGTATTCTCAGGAGTACTGATTACCTTGTAGGTATTAATAGTAAATGAGATAAGAGGAAAGGCAGAAAAATTTAGTAAGAATTAAATCTGAATTTCCAACTGACTGAGTCGAAGGAAATGAATAAACAGTGTAAAAACAAAGTGAAAAGTAGTCAGAAGATGATAGACAGTTCTATTCATGTCAAGATTTCTACAAGTCACATGAGAAGTTGAAGAAAATCTGCAAGAGACTAAGTTAGTTGACAAGTATATTGAGAGAACAATAGTATCATCTACCACGATGAATGCACTACCCACATCACTTTTGGTCATCCCATAAGTAAATATAGAAAGAACAAAGCCCTTGGTATTTCTGAATCTTGGCATACTTTATCTCAATATAGAGTCTACACAGTATAAACTACACAGTTCTCCAATGACATCTTCCATACGAAAGTTCAGAAACACTAAACAGGAGCAACCTATGACAATAATGCAACATATTACACGAGCACATTAGTTGCATTCAAGAACTGATTTCTGTATACGTTAATTATACACAAATACTTAAACACGGACATAGGTAAAAAAAAAAAATTTAAAATGTTTACTTATCTAATATTTTATTCTCTAATATACTTATTATTTCTTTAATTTTACTTTTATTAGCAGTATCGGTCAGAATTTTTAATACGTCTACTTTTATTACAGAGGTTGTTTTGCAGTGTTAGTTTAGTATATGGACTTAGAGCTAACCTAAATCTCTCAAGCAAGCCAAACCTTGCAATACATTATTTACAACAGATTTTAAACTTTATAAGAACGTAAGAAAGCATATTTAATTAGCTATGCTCATTAGCAAGTTAACTTTTAGTTTTTATATAAGTAGTTTGGTTTGATCAGAAGTTAATATTAATTAAAGTCAAAGGAAAAGAAACGAATGATTTATAATACTGAAAACTGAGGGTATGTACACAGAACAGGTATAGTTTTAAAGTGTCCTCACTAATATTTCAACGAGTAGATTCTGCTATAAGTTGCAAAGCTTTCTTAACAATTACTAATGTATACATACATACATACATATATATATTATAACACACACACACACACACACTAAGTTTCTAAAAAGGAAAATGGATATACAATACTTTTGTGTGTTATAAAACGACACAATTTGACTGAAAATCTGTCTAAATCGTGAACATTTATTCTTATAAAATTAACGTTCTTAAACCAGCACAATTACAATTGATTTTTAAAATGTAACGCTCAAGAATTGAGTCTTAAACTTTCTTATATAAAAAAACCAAATCCTGGAAGTTAATGAATTTCTCTACAACAGTTTAATACCCGATTAAGAAAAAAAAAGGAACATCTCATATCTGAAGAAAATAAACTCGCTTCATCGCGCCTTTCCACCCCTATAGCTTTATAATGTACTAGCCGCAAGAATGATGGTCTGGCTAAGGTCTATATCGGCTTTATAATACACTAGCCGCAAGAATGATGGTCTGGCTAAGGTCTGTATCGTTCAAAACATATCACTTTTGGCTCAACAGATACTTCAAATTACACTACAACACCAATATTTATGCATACGTAACTAAGGCTGATCTAAATCAGTAAATACTCAATTTTTAATTTTCATTTAACTCAGCAAAGGCGTAGGTCGAAATGATGATTTCAAAGCATGGTTACATATTTTTAGAGAGTTACGAGTAATTTGTTTTCAAGGACCATATTAAGGAAAGCATATTTTCATTATGATTATGACGCATAAACAGATATACGTTAAAGTGCGTCTTATAGCTATAACAAATACACAAATTAAGCCAAATTACATAAAACCATCAAAGCATTAAAAAAATGCAAGCTCAATAAACATTTTATGTTTCAGCATTCAACTAAATAGTTACTTCCTGTTTCTAAAAATTAGTCTGGCCTACTTTTTTTCTTTTGTTTGTTTCTTTTCAATAAGTTTTCGAAACGTTAAAGGTTTGTTGATAGCCAAAGTCTACATTGTATGTCCGGTGACAGTCCGTTACTCCGAAGATGTTTTCTATTTTTAACAGTGAAAATGATAAATTGATTGTTTTGTTAAATATGACCTAAAACGTTGGAGTTTCTCGTGAATTGATGAATAATGTTTATCTGCACTTCCCCGGTGTTATTTTCTCGTACGCACGTATAACGTTAGCTACAGATCCCGCATATATATACGCATCAGGATTGGATTTGGGAATCCAGCTCTTCTGAGAGAATGGGCATTCAAGATTCTTACTCCACAGCGCTGTGGCAACGAATGTTATATCCTGTTATATTTGCTACCAGAAGGGTGGCTGCCTACCAAACAAGTAGATTAATCACAATGGTCAATAATGGCTGCCTACCAAGCAAGTAGATTAATCATAATGGTCAATAATGGCTGCCTACCAAGCAAGTAGATTAATCATAATGGTCAATAAT